CCCCCCCCCCAGTGGAAGAAAGGCCTGGCAGTGTACTCTGTCATATGGGGCCATTCTTCTCTGTCCAGTAGGGTCTCTAGGGATCAGAACCTCAGTACCCTGAAACAATGAAACTTCTTAGTTGTGTGAGGGGAACATTCCTCTTCAGTCCCCAACAGCCTCAAAAGCAAAAAGAAATCAAAAATAACTTTTAAAAGAAAATCAAGAATTGAGATCATTATTTAAAACCATAGAATTATACAGTTTAAAAGGGAGAATTTTGTGAATTATAGATAACTTTTAAGTAATTCTGATCAAATTACCAGGCATTAGCCAAACTAACCACAAAGAGTTTAAAATCCCGATTTTCCCCTGGGTTGGGCTGCACAATTCAAATGTATTTGTTCTTTGGCTTTTTACATTAACTGCAATTACAGACTCCCCGGTCCCATTTCCCCTGACTTGCATATCTGAGGCCTTGTCCACTTTTTCGGCCTTGTCACGTGCACCTCTGCTGGTGTGGGGGAGTATAACTGCAGATCAGGTCATCAACCGAGCCACCACCTCCTAGCCTCCATGAAAGACTTAGTTGTGGAAGAAATTTTAATGCCTAATGAAGATGATGTTTTGGGGTCACCTGTGAACTTTTTGTGCAGTTCAATTTTTAAGAGCTATTCACAAGTTCTTAATTAATAGTCACGTAGTGGTTATGAATCGGGCTGCTAACCTCAAGGTCGGCAGTTCAAAACTACCAGCTGTTTCGTGGGAGAAAGATGAGGTTTTTTGCTCCTGTACAGATTTACAGCCTTAGAAACTCTGTGCAGGGTCACTATCAGTCGGAACCGACTTCATGGTATTTAACAACAACAGCATACGGTAGGTATACAGGATGGCCAAACCTCGTCTCTCACATTTCGGACATATTGTCAGGAGGGACCAGTCACTGGAGAAGGATATCATGTTTGGTAAGGTGGAGGCTCAGAATAAAAGAGGAAGATCCTCAGCAAGATGGATTGGCAAAGTGGCAGCAGCATCAGTGGGCTCAAGCATAGCA